GACAGGATGGGGGGGTTCATTTGCAGTTGGGCCGGAAAGAAAACAACCAATCAGAGCTCAGAAAGATAGTTTTTTGTTGAGTCTCATTCCTAGGTTGTCAAATACCAACACTTTGAGTCCCAAAGCCTCAAGCAACCAACCACCAAATGTGTCAATATTTGATGACCTGGGAATGATCTACAGTCTTTCTCGGCTTTGATTGGCTGTTTTACAATTCAATGTATTGCGATATTTAAATAAAGATAGTATTTTCACAGTCCCTGTAACATCCAACATCACAGCCCTCGGTTTATGTTTACAATGCTGCTCTCTAGCAGTTAAACACAACAATCGATACAACAGTTTTTAGAATTGATACAATACCACAAAACAAAATATCGCGATACATTTGTGTTACGCCCCTAATGCTTTTGCATGGTCAGATAATGACAACTGAGTTATCTCCATCCGAGGTGCCAGAATCACCCCACAATGCTGTGTGGTTCCTGTCTTTTAACGGAGCATGATGATGGGGCCTTTTTGACAGCTGCCTGCTGTACCTGGAGCCAGAGGATCGGATCTTGATCAGCCAAATGCTCACATTCACTAACTACTTGTCAGAGCTCAACCAACTTATCTATATTATCGGCCGATATTGGACGTTTAGGCCAATGGACCACCAAAGCTTCAGGGTGGGTCGCATGGTTTTTATAATATTAAGGGGTGTAAGAAAACTTGAAAATATACAGCACTATGTAGACGTATATCTCAGCAATTCTGTGAAGAAGAGATGATTTGCTTGGATAGATAGAATATATGACAAAAATACACAATGCAGAGTAAAGCCATCAGAATATTCACCTCTGATGTAATATTCATTCAAATAATCTGCCCAAAATTTGTCCAAATCGCTTGTTTTACACAAACTTCCTGCAGTTATGGTGTTCGGGTTCAATGTACAGTTTATCAGTTGTTCTGTACTGTTAATACCCATAAAATATTTATATAAAATATGTATACTCAATGATAGAAAAGGGGTCCCTTAAGGAAAAATGTTGGAAACCAGTGCTTTAGGCAATACTGTCACAGACATATTGGTATCGCATCGTAGTGGCATGTACGCTATTCAATATGTGCCGATATGAACATATTTTTTTCAGAAAGAAAATGCTGGTGGTAACATACAGTACTGTGAGGGAAGTAGCTCTCAGCAACGTCAACTAGAATTGGTTGACAATGTTAATGTTAAATTATTTGACACATTAAAGAATACTTAACTTAAATATTATTTAATAAAGTTATTTGTTAAAGAAAGCAGCGTTCTGGGTAACCTTTGTATAGTCAAAAATTGCTGCACAATCCATATAGAAAAGGTCTATTTTCATTGTATCAGTGACTTTCCCCCCCTCTAAAATGGTCTCCAATATCCTATATCGGCCGGGCTCTACTTCTTTGTCTTGACAATATGATCATAGAGATGAGCGCAGACAGCTTGAGTTATAGGGGGCATTAGTGAAGGGAGTGTAGAAAGGGGCTGATGAGACGACAAAATCAAAAACACACACTCACACACACACCAGGTTTATTAGCAATGCACCAGACTCCTCATTACAGCCGGCTGCTGTCTCAGCTCACTCCTCCCCAGGGTCAAGGGTGAAAGGTGAAGGCCCGTCAGTCACTGCCAGTGTCTGAGCCTTTGTCTCCTCGCCCCTGCTTCCTCTTTGTTCACGCATTCTCTGTTTTGTTGTCTTCGCTCAAACCTGAAATGGAAACAAATCAATCAGACGTTTAGCTCTAATTTAGAAAATCAGTATTAATGTAAAATAATAAAATATATTGATCATTTATAGGATACAATCATATTTTTCATTTTCCGTCTCTGTTACTGTAATACAACACTTGTATGTTGAAAAAGGTTATTTGTTTCTGTAATCAAGAGCTGCAATGATTAGTCGATGGGTTGTCAACTATTTTCTATTAATCGTCATTTTGCAAGAAAAAATGTCCTGATTATCGGATTTCAGCTTCTCCAATGTGAATATTTTCTGCTTTCTTTAGTCCTCTATGACAGTAAACTGAATATCTTTGTGTTGAGGACATCACCCTGGGCTTTGGGATACAGTAATCAGCATTTTTCACCGTTTTCCAAAATTTTATGGACCAAACAACTAATTAGGTAATGGAGAAAATGATAGATAGATGAATCGATAATGAAAATAATTGTAAGCTGCAGGCCTACTGTAACCCTCCTGTCCATACTGGACCTTGAGAGGTCCATGTTGAATGCAGACCTGGAAAAAGTTGATAAAATTCCTCATTTCATCTGTATTCACCGCATTTTGAGTTAAGTCAAAGTCAAACTCTTAAGTTCTGAAATAAACTAATAATAATGATAGTTCATTTTTCTTCTTTAAAAAACTCAAATCTTTTTTAACATAGTTTTTAACATATGTTACATATGAATATGGACATACCCCTTCTATCCATAGAACCTTAATTCAGATAAAAATCCTTTAACAGTAAAAAAGTCATTCATGTCTATAACTCTAACAGTAGTGTACCAACAGTAAAATGTTTCCTGCCATTGAACAGCAGAATTTTAAAGCCGCAGTAGGTAAGTTTTTGGCATATTTGTTTAAATTTCTACTATATCTTGACAGTAGTACATGAGACAGATAATCTGTGAAAAAATCAGGAATAATTGAAAACAACCAATCAGAGCCAAGAAACATAGTTGATTTCTGAGTCTCATTCACAGATCATAAACTATCAGCACTTTGGATCCCAAAGCTTCAAGCCACCAACCCGTAGTGTCAATATTTGACAATCAACTATCTTTCTCGGCTCCGTTCAGGCCCGGTGGATTCTTGCAAGTACCATTAGGAGCACTATAAGAAACCAGAGGAACCTGAATTCTTCACAGATTATTTGGCTGATGTACTACTGTCAGGATATAGTAGAAGTTTCTGCAAATATGACCAAAAGTTTTTTATCTAAAAATTACGTATTGCGGCTTTAAGGTTCTGTTCAATTCAAGTCAAACAGTCAGGGTGCTGCTGCTGCTATACACGTTGGCACTCTGGAAAAGCTCTACTACGCTAAATGGAACAGAACCTTAATTAGTATCATTGGAAACACCGGTACTATTTCATGTAAAAATGGCGGCTGTGAAAAAGGTCTGTTGGTTTTGTTTGTAGTAAGATTGAAGGTAGTGCCCCTTCTGTTTGGCAGTCTTCAAAGTGATCTCTTTTATATAAAGAGCTTTATTTTACTGCTCATGTATGAAGAGAATGTAGTGCTGTGGAGACATGGGACTGTACATTTGGACTGTTTTAACATCAAAGACCCCTTAGATGTAGTTTTTAAACAATTGTGACAAGATATGTACAAAAATATTTTTAAAAATAACATGTTAATCTAATGGAGACACAATTTCTTGTATTTTATGAGCCCACATATACACTGACACTGAGAAGGTACAATCTGTCAATAATAGAGCTGTAATTTGTATATCTGCCTTTATTTGTAATTTGGAGTAAATTCCAAAGTGGTTCTCACAGATTTGTCTTGCTTATTTGTTCACAAAAGATACTTACCAGAGTCAGAATAAAAGAAATGTATAAAACATATTGTTTATTTAATTGGGATTTGGGACATAGCTAATGTATGTGAAACAGATGGTGTCTGGTCTGGTCTGCTTCTGAGCTGGCAGACTGATCCTGCTCAGCTAATCAGCAGCCTCAATTATTCAACGCTGTGTGTGAGGTATGTGTGTGTTTGGGTGTGGAGGGGGGTAGAGCTGAATGACCCATGACCTCTGTTTATTCCCCCAGAAGCTCCGGCTCTGCCCCCAGCTCAAGCAGCTGTCTGTTGGCGAGCAGTAACTGTCTCTTCGGTCCTCCCCACACAACACTAAGGTCCAGACTTAGACCAGGACCAAGCAGACTGGCTAAGCTAGCTCGCTTTCTAAACACACTGGGGTAATTAGGCTGTCAAAAAACAGAAAAACAACAACAATATATATTAACAATATGTATAAAGCTAACTGTAAAAAGTGACTAAATTAAGGATAAAAAGCACTCTAAGGTGAAACGGGGTGAAGCTACCGTTGCTGCAGTTCGTACGGATACATATCTCTCCGCACTGTGCAAGTAGAGAATTATCTTAGTATTGTTATTGGTATTAAAGTCCAGGTGGAATGAAAAATGTACTTTTAACCTTTTAAGATTGCATCCTCTGTCATATTGTACCCCTATTTAACAATGTATGCCAAAAAATTCACAAAACTCAATTTCTTTGTATTTTTATGTCAAAATCCGATCATTTTGTTTTCCTGTAAAACAAAATGTGACGCGTGCTTATGTAAACATGAACAAACACACAACTTTTGGGTGAAACTGGATCATATTTTATGGAGAGAATATTGTCTGGTTTTCCCACTGACGTCCTCCGTCTGCTTTGCCTCAACTCCGCTAACTGCTAATGTAGCTGCCTTTAGCGTGCAACCGAACGGGGCTCAGCAGCCTCCCAGTGAACACAACCTCCGAGACAGACAGAAGATATTTTGACGACAGCGGTACCGAGGTGATTTATGGAGTTTCCAGATGGATTGGTAAAAGAAGCTAACTGTCGCCAACAGTAATGTTAGATGCTGTCAGCTAGTTATCTCAAACAGCTAATGTTAGCGGACAGCCCTGGGGTGGTAGGAGCCAAACCCGGCTGAAAACACCTCAGTACTGTATTCCTTGTTGTAAAACCGTCCTCAGTCGGCAGAGTCAGCTAAGGGGACAAAACACACAGCGCTATTGGCTACCATGGCAGGTCCCTTCCTGCTTGCCTGTTTTTACGATAGGAAATGCAGAATCAATTGATTAAAGGTCTTGTAGAAATTAACGTCTTGGCTAAACTTCTGCTGTAGCTACATTTCTCCATGGAACCAAAGCCAATACATGAGGTCACTTGGTAATATATGAAAATGTTTCTAATGTCCTCTGTGTGTTCCTCTCCATCTCTCTGTGTCCGCAGCTGAACTGGAGTTTGTTCAGATAATAATAATCCTGCTGGTGATGACCTTCATGATAGTTGTGATCATCTGCCTACTCAACCACTATCGGCTGCCGGCCCTGGCCTTCCTCAGCAGGCTCAGCCATACCCAGAGAGACCAGGCCACACAACTGGTAGGTGAAATTACCACCACAGTGACAGAGGTTGGGATCAGTGGGACATGGTTCTAGGTGTCTGTCCATCTGTTAACAACAAAATAGATACTGAAATCAAAAACCTGAATGGCATTTTATCATATATACATATTTAAAACTATTGTGTTAGAAATTCTGTAGAAAAATCCTAATATGCTCTCTAAATTTTATGTGCAGACACACAGACGTGCAAAAAAATGAAATGCATCATACTGAATCACAACTCAAGTGCTACATGAGACCACAACCACTCAAAAAAGTCATATGACAGCCTGTGACGTGCATCAGAGTTTAATCTTATAATCATTTTATGATCAGTGATGGCCATTCATTTGATTTTGTGTATGTAATCCAGTAAATATATGCAGTGAGTCATCCTCTCTGTCTTTGTCTCTCTCAGGATGGCAGTGAGTGGCCAGACAGTGTGCTGACACAGCAGAGAAACAGTGAGGTGAGAAATGCTTGTGTAGCCTCAGGCCCCACATTTGTTTCAGAAAGCCTCAACTTTCTGAAAAGCATTCTAGTGTTGATAAGCTGCCTTCTGGCAAATAATCCAAAACGCTGGAACAAAAGTACAAAGAAGTGGCACAGACACACACACACAGATGATGATCTCAGGAGGGGACTAATGGTGGTGTGTTCGTTTTGTCTCGTATCGCGATTGCAGCTCGAGAAGTCGAGTACATCCGTGTTGGAAAACGAGTAACCGCGGGTTTTTGGCGTTCCTGGTTTGCCCAACACGG